CCCCAGAGCTCGCTCCAGTGTCGGCTCCAGGCCCAGGGCTCGCTCCAGTGTCGGCTCCAGCCCCAGGGCTCGCTCCAGTGTCGGCTCCAGCCCCAGGGCTCGCTCCAGTGTCGGCTCCAGCCCCAGGGCTCGCTCCAGTGTCGGCTCCAGCCCCAGGGCTCACTCCAGTGTCGGCTCCAGCCCCAGAGCTGTATAAAAGCATGGACGTAGTGTCCGTGTGTCACGTGTATGTTCCAGTTCTCCCTATTTGGTTTTTCCTGTTCCTGTCCTCGTCATGTGAATTAGTCTCCGGTTGTGTTTGATTAATTAGTTTGTATTGTTCCCAGGTGTGTCCCATTAGTTTCTGTCCATTTAAACCCTGTTTCCCAGAGTTTCTTTGTCTGCTGTTAAACATCAATCCATGTGTTCCTGTGTTTCTGAAGTTCCCCGTGTGTTTGAATTAAATTCCATGTTTGAAAATATTCTCCTGCGTCTCCTCGCTCCTTCCTGCCTGAGTGGATTGTGACATCGTGACGTCATCCGTAGGTTTCCGAAGAGTGTTTTTGAAGCCTAAAGTAGGCGGAGCCGACCGTCACCATCTTGGCAACGCATCACCGCGCGTCACTCACGGATAATCGGAAATGGGCAAAGAGGCGGGAGCTGGTTGCTGAAACCACGCCCACCTAGCTCGACGGTGGTGACAGCAGTGGCAATCCACCTGTCACTCAAGTGGCCATGCGCTTAATTATGCAGAACTTTAAGACCTAATATAATTTAAATGGATAAGTTATAAAAAAAATCACCCCCCTCACAGTTGTCATGAAGGGCAAAATTAGCTATATAGACCAAAATCATTTTTTGAACCAGGCATGTTTTTTTAAACATTTTTTTCTGCTGTAAAGTTGGGCATTTTAACATGGGGAGTCTATGGGATTGACTCCCTTTTGCAGCTAGCCTCTAGTGGCCAGTTGACGAATTACAGTTTAAGTCACTTCCGTGTTGGCTTCACGAGAGAGAGCGGGAGGTTGCCGCTTGCTTTGGACTGGCAGTGAAGTTAATGTCAATAAGTGCACTTGTCTGGTGGAATATCAGATATCTGTAAAATATCAAAAGTATGCATACGTTTTAAAACAGTTATTATAATTAAAACTATTGGATTATGCTCATGAAATTATATGAAAATGCATATCATTCAAAGCAGTCATCGGAGATGTACACATGAGAATGTAACCACTTAAAACAAAAGTAAAAGTTTTTAATAATACTCACCACTACTAAACAGCATTGAAAAGAAGAAAAAGAAGAAAGAACGGTCCAGGAGAATAAGGGATCTTGACCAGAGAAACCAGAAATCTAAACAGAAAGCATATGAAATGTTACTTTTTGTCACAATCTCCATCCCGGACCTTTGCCACTTCCAAGTATAAATTCTTTAAAAATCCTACAATGTGATTTTCTGGATTTTTTTTCTCATTTTGTCTCTAATAGTTGAGGTATACCTATGATGAAAATTACAGGCCTCTCTCATCTTTTTAAGTGGGAGAACTTGCACAATTGGTGGCTGACTAAATACTTTTTTTTCCCCACTGTATATGTTGAAGGAAGTTCGGCATGACCAGCTTGAGGTTGGCTTTGTTAAAGTCCCCCACGATGATAAAAGCAGGCCGTTAGCCATGTTTCAGACAAACAAAGATTGTTACAGACCCTGATGTCCCGTTGGAAACTTATCCTGGCTCTGAGATCGTCCACCTTATTCTCTAAGGATTGGACATTGGCAAGCAGAATGCTCGGCAGAGGAGGGCTGTGTGCTCTTTGCCTCAGTCTGTTGCGAATCCCAGCGAGCTTCCCGCGGTGTTTCTTAATCCGTCACCGCGGTGGGTTATTCAGGTGGCCATTGTTCATCTCTGCGTTCCGGAGAATCTCAGATGGCCACGATGGGTTGGAGGATAAAGTGTCCTGAAACAGGTTAGTGTAGCGGTGACCAATGTCCAAAAGTGTTCTTTTGTCGTAAGTGATCAGTGCAGATGATATGTGTGTAAAAAGAGAGAGCAAAAGAAAGTACAAAAGTAAATAAAAGCACAATCTAAGTGGAGCGACCTGGACGGCGTCCAAACTCAGCAGCGCCATCTTGGTATGTGATTATCAGAGAGATTCTCTGCAGAGTCTCACGGCCTCGTTATCTCTGATAAGAAAGCGTGTTCCCTTTCAGTTGGTCACTCTCGATGTCACGTCGGTGATGACCGACGAATTGGGATCTTGCCAGAGAGACCAATCCACTTTGAGTGTAACTAAACGATGCGATTATTGCATCCAGCTGCCGCTGATCACAGCATGAGTATAAGAGGCACCAGGTGCACTGCATTCATTCATCCTTTCGCTTTGGAGCCAAGCGGTAGTGCATCACTACTGCTCTCTACTTCGGTGTTGCAAGCAGAGAGCCAGCGAGTGCGGGCGTTATGGCACAGCAGCGGTGGTCACAGTTGCACGACGGGAACAGAGATCATCGTCGTGCAGACAGCCACACCAGGAGTGTGTGGTGGCCAGCTCCCCTGCGTGCTTCAGCACAAGAAAATTTCTCTAAAAGAGCAACACAGGTGATCGCATCTTTTGAAACACCCGTGCGTTTCTGGGTGTGGTCGCTATCTGGTGCCTCGGGACGGTCACAATCACTGTCTCACGTGTCTGGGCGTTGAGCACGCTGAGCAAGCGTTCGTGGATGGTGCATGTTCTATTTGTGGGGACATGACCGTCTTGCATGAAAGACTATTACGTCGATCCAGTGTTCGTCTCTGCAATCTGGGCGGCACTGCATCCGGTGGAGTCAGATGTGATTTGAGGATCACGGTGACGGCTTCCCCAGAGGGAGTTCGTCACCCCTCAAGCACTCCGCAGCCTGTGGAGCGGCCGGAGGGACTTGCTGGCCCCTCTAGACTGTGGAGGGAACCGGCCATTTCCTTCGGTTCACCCCCTTGAGACCAATCGCTGCATCGGAGGGCTCTCTCTCTCTCTCCGGGGATGACGATCCGGTTGCGTTGCCCCCTTCGGGTGTGACAGCGTTGTCTGAGCCAGACCCAGAGATGACGGCTATGCTTTCCTGGGCCGCCGAGAATGTCAGGCTCGTGTGGAATTCTCCACCACATCCCGATCCTTCGAGGCTGGAAAAGTAGTTTCTCGGTGGAGGTCGCGCTGGTTCTCAGCGCCCCCCTCTGGTGCCATTCTTCCCGGAGGTGCATGAAGAGCTCACAAGGTCATGGAAGGCACCTTTTACTGCTCGAAACAAATCTTGTAGCTCCTCTGCTCTCACCACCCTCGATGGTGGAGCTGCTTTGGGGTACATGGGCATTCCCTCGGTGGAGCGGTCGGTGGCCATGCAACTGTGTCCGATGGCCGCTATCACTGACCCGTGTCTCCCCTCACGGGCCTATTCATCAGGTTTAACTGGCAGTGCTTACAGAGCTTGTGGGGAGGCGGCTTCTTCCCTCCACGCCATGGTGTTACTGCAGGTCCATCGGGCCAAAGCCCTGAAAGACCTGCACGAGGGTGATCACGACCGGGCAATTCTACATGAACTGCGTGCTGCGACGGACCTTGCGCTTCGAGCGACGAAGATGACTGCACAGTTCCATGTCCATGTTAGTGGTCCAGAAGCGCCATCTCTGGCTGTGTCTGGCTGACATGAAGGAGCATGATAAGGTATTCAGTTCCTGAATGCTCCCAGGTCTCAGACCGGCCTTTTCGGCGGCACAGAAGCAGATGGAGGTGATTAAACACATCCTGCACCGGAGGAAACCAGCTGCTTCCGTCCCGGCTGCAGCCCCTCAGCGTGCTCGTCGCCGTGGGTGACCCCCTGTGGCTGCCCCCACTCCCACGCAGCAGCAGAATTAAAATACTAAAATAAAAGAGCGGTTTCCTCAGTCTCTGGGTCTCAAGAGGAGGAGAGTTGTGAACTGTGCATAACAGGATCACTTCCCTCTTCCTCTCTCACCAGTGGGCAGCAGTGGGTTGCCCAAGAGCACCCCTCCTGCCCATTTGTGGAACCAGGTAAGGGCTGTAGAATTCAAGTCCCCGCTTCATGTTGTCACATGCCGGGCTGTCACAAGCCTCAAGCCGGGACCCTGTGTTTTCTCCCACACATGGGGGAATCAGGTGAGTGTTACACTTCACACCCAGACTCCGCCCTCTGCCGTCACAGGCCTCGGGACGAGTCCCTGTGTTCCACCACGCTGCCCCACCGTGGGTACGTTGGTGGCGCCGTTGGTTCCTCTGGCACGGTCTCTCGGAGCCTGGTTAGTGCTCCCCAGTCCGTCTCGGTGGCTCCTGCAGACCATCAGACTTGGCTACACGATTTAGTTTGCCCGGCATCCCCCCAAGTTCAGAGGCATCCGGTTCACTTCAGTCAAGGCTGCCGATGCCCCTGTCTTGCGTGCAGAGATCACAGTCCTGCTGGCGAAGGACGCGATAGAGCCGGTCCCTCCAGCCGATATGACGTTGGGTTTTTACAGCCCTTACTTTATTGTGCCCAAGAAAAGCGGTGGGTTACGACCGATCTTGGATCTGCGAGTTTTGAACTGTGCGTTTCACAAGCTGCCATTCAAGATGTTGACACAGAAACGCATTTTCGGGTGCATCCGTCCCCAAGATTGGTTTGCAGCGATCGACCTGAAGGACGTGTACTTTCATGTCTCAATCCTCCCGCGGCACAGGCCATTCCTGCAGTTTGCGTTAAGGGTCAGGCATATCAGTACAAGGTCCTGCCCTTCGGGATGTCCCTTTCGCCTCACGTCTTCACCAAAGTCATGGAGGCAGCCCTTGTTCCTTTGAGAGAACGGGGGGTGCTCATTCTCAACTATCTCGACGACTGGCTCATACTCGCACAGTCAGTTGTGCAGGTTATATTTTAATGTCCTGAAAATTAAATTAAACTGTTTTTCTTTAATTTCAGAGCTGATGGCAGAGAATGAGGAGAGTGAAGAACTGAGTGGAGTGAAGGAGAAACATCATGACAAACCTGGAGGAAAACCTTTGAGTCACTCAAAGAGAAACAATGCATTTTCAAAGAAAAGAAGAGCCAAGAAATCTTTCACCTGCACTCAGTGTGGAAAGAGTTTCACAAGCAAATCAAATCTTGAGCTTCACATGAGAGTTCATAGTGGAGAGAAGCCGTTCACATGTGATCAGTGTGGAAAGAGTTTCACACAGTCAAGAAACCTTAAAAAACACATGAAAATCCACACCGGAGAGAAGCCATTCACCTGCAAAAAATGCGGGAAGAGTTTCACGGATTCATCACAGCTTAAGAGACACATGAGGATCCACACCGGAGAGAAGCCGTTCATGTGTGATCAGTGTGAAAAGAGATTCACATACAAACAAAGTCTTGATCATCACATGAGAGTTCATACTGTAGAGATACCATTCATGTGTGATCAGTGTGAAAAGAGATTCACATGCAAACAAAGTCTTGATCATCACATGAGAGTTCATACTGGAGAGATGCCATACATGTGTGATCAGTGTGGAAAGAGTTTCATGTACTCTTCAAACCATAAAAGACACATGCAAATCCACACTGGAGAGAAGCCATTCACCTGCGAAAAGTGCAGGAAGAGTTTCACACAAAAAATACATCTTAGACTACACATGAGGATCCATACTGGAGAAAAGCCGTTCATGTGTGATCAGTGTGGAAAGAGTTTCATGTACTCTTCAAACCACAAAAGACACATGCAAATCCACACTGGAGAGAAGCCATTCACCTGCGAAAAGTGCAGGAAGAGTTTCACACAAAAAATACATCTTAGACTACACATGAGGATCCATACTGGAGAAAAGCTGTTCATGTGTGATCAGTGTGGAAAGAGTTTCATGGACTCTTCAAAACATAAAATGCACATGAGAATCCACACTGGAGAGAAGCCTTACACATGTGATCAATGTGGGAAGAGTTTCACACAATCAGTAAACTTAAAAACACACATGAGGATCCACACTGGAGAGAAGCCTTACACATGTGATCAATGTGGGAAGAGTTTTGCACAATCAGTCAACTTTAAAACACACATGAGGATTCACACTGGAGAGAAGCCGTTAATGTGTGAGCAGTGTGGAAAGAGATTCTCAATTAAAAATAAACTTCAACTTCACATGAGAGTTCATACTGGAGAGAAGCCATATGCATGTGATCAGTGTGGGAAGAGCTTCACAAACAAATCAAGTCTTGAGCTTCACATGAGGATCCACACCGGAGAGAAGCCGTTCATGTGTGATCAGTGTGAAAAGAGATTCACATACAAACAAAGTCTTGATCATCACATGAGAGTTCATACTGGAGAGAAGCCATTCATGTGTGATCAGTGTGAAAAGAGATTCACATGCAAACAAAGTCTTGATCATCACATGAGAGTTCATACTGTAGAGATACCATTCATGTGTGATCAGTGTGAAAAGAGATTCACATACAAACAAAGTCTTGATCATCACATGAGAGTTCATACTGGAGAGATGCCATACATGTGTGATCAGTGTGGAAAGAGTTTCATGTACTCTTCAAACCACAAAAGACACATGCAAATCCACACTGGAGAGAAGCCATTCACCTGCGAAAAGTGCAGGAAGAGTTTCACACAAAAAATACATCTTAGACTACACATGAGGATCCATACTGGAGAAAAGCTGTTCATGTGTGATCAGTGTGGAAAGAGTTTCATGGACTCTTCAAAACATAAAATGCACATGAGAATCCACACTGGAGAGAAGCCTTACACATGTGATCAATGTGGGAAGAGTTTCACACAATCAGTAAACTTAAAAACACACATGAGGATCCACACTGGAGAGAAGCCTTACACATGTGATCAATGTGGGAAGAGTTTTGCACAATCAGTCAACTTTAAAACACACATGAGGATTCACACTGGAGAGAAGCCGTTAATGTGTGAGCAGTGTGGAAAGAGATTCTCAATTAAAAATAAACTTCAACTTCACATGAGAGTTCATACTGGAGAGAAGCCATATGCATGTGATCAGTGTGGGAAGAGCTTCACAAACAAATCAAGTCTTGAGCTTCACATGAGGATCCACACCGGAGAGAAGCCATTCATGTGTGATCAGTGTGAAAAGAGATTCACATACAAAGTAAGTCTTGATCATCATATGAGAGTTCATACTGGACAGAAGCCATTCATGTGTGATCAGTGTGAAAAGAGATTCACATACAAACAAAGTCTTGAGCTTCACATGAGAGTTCATACTGGAGAGAAGCCATTCATGTGTGATCAGTGTGAAAAGAGATTCACATACAAAGTAAGTCTTGATCATCATATGAGAGTTCATACTGGACAGAAGCCATTCATGTGTGATCAGTGTGAAAAGAGATTCACATACAAACAAAGTCTTGAGCTTCACATGAGAGTTCATACTGGAGAGAAGCCATTCATGTGTGATCAGTGTGAAAAGAGATTTACATACAAACCAAGTCTTGATCATCACATGAGAGTTCATACTGGAGAGAAGCCATTCATGTGTGATCAGTGCGGAAAGAGTTTCATGGACTCTTCAAAACATAAAAAACACATGAGAATTCACACCGGAGAGAAGCCTTACACGTGTGATCAATGTGGGAATAGTTTCACACAATCAGAACACTTAAAAACACACATGAGGATCCACACTGGAGAGAAGCCTTACACATGTGATCAATGTGGGAAGAGTTTTGCACAATCAGTCAACTTTAAAACACACATGAGGATTCACACTGGAGAGAAGCCGTTAATGTGTGAGCAGTGTGGAAAGAGATTCTCAATTAAAAATAAACTTCAACTTCACATGAGAGTTCATACTGGAGAGATGCCATACATGTGTGATCAGTGTGGAAAGAGTTTCATGTACTCTTCAAACCACAAAAGACACATGCAAATCCACACTGGAGAGAAGCCATTCACCTGCGAAAAGTGCAGGAAGAGTTTCACACAAAAAATACATCTTAGACTACACATGAGGATCCATACTGGAGAAAAGCCGTTCATGTGTGATCAGTGTGGAAAGAGTTTCATGGACTCTTCAAAACATAAAATGCACATGAGAATCCACACTGGAGAGAAGCCTTACACATGTGATCAATGTGGGAAGAGTTTTGCACAATCAGTCAACTTTAAAACACACATGAGGATTCACACTGGAGAGAAGCCGTTAATGTGTGAGCAGTGTGGAAAGAGATTCTCAATTAAAAATAAACTTCAACTTCACATGAGAGTTCATACTGGAGAGAAGCCATATGCATGTGATCAGTGTGGGAAGAGCTTCACAAACAAATCAAGTCTTGAGCTTCACATGAGGATCCACACCGGAGAGAAGCCATTCATGTGTGATCAGTGTGAAAAGAGATTCACATACAAAGTAAGTCTTGATCATCATATGAGAGTTCATACTGGACAGAAGCCATTCATGTGTGATCAGTGTGAAAAGAGATTCACATACAAAGTAAGTCTTGATCATCATATGAGAGTTCATACTGGACAGAAGCCATTCATGTGTGATCAGTGTGAAAAGAGATTCACATACAAAGTAAGTCTTGATCATCATATGAGAGTTCATACTGGACAGAAGCCATTCATGTGTGATCAGTGTGAAAAGAGATTTACATACAAACCAAGTCTTGATCATCACATGAGAGTTCATACTGGAGAGAAGCCATTCATGTGTGATCAGTGCGGAAAGAGTTTCATGGACTCTTCAAACCATAAAAGACACGTGCAAATCCACAGTGGAGAGAAGCCATTCACCTGCGAAAAGTGCAGGAAGAGTTTCAAACAAAAAATACTTCTTAGACTACACATGAGGATCCACACTGGAGAAGAGACGTTCATGTGTGATCAGTGTGGAAAGAGTTTCATGGACTCTTCAAAACATAAAAAACACATGAGAATTCACACCGGAGAGAAGCCTTACACGTGTGATCAATGTGGGAAGAGTTTCACACAATCAGTAAACTTAAAAACACACATGTGGATCCACACTGGAGAGAAGCCTTACACGTGTGATCAATGTGGGAATAGTTTCACACAATCAGAACACTTAAAAACACACATGAGGATCCACACCGGAGAGAAGCCATTCATGTGTGAACAGTGTGAAAAGAGATTCTCAATTAAACAAAGTCTTAAACTTCACATGAGGATCCACACTGGAGAGAAGCCGTTCACATGTGATCAATGCGGAAAAACATTTTACCGGGCATCGGCTCTGAAGACACACCTGACAGTTCATACGAAGGAGAAGCCGCACTCATGTTCTGAATGTGGAAAGAGTTTTTCACTGCTGCAAAGTTTAAAAGGACATCAGAAAATACATACCGGTGTGAGAGAGTACATGTGCTTTGAGTGTGACAAGACTTTTATTTCAGCGAGCCATTTAAAACGGCACCAGATTATTCACACTGGAGAAAAACCTTACAAGTGTACACACTGTGACAAGAGATTTAAACAGTCAGCAATTCTGAAAAGACATGAGAAGATCCACACTGGAGAGGAACCGCACACATGAGATCAGTGCGGGAAGAGTTTTGCTTTTAAAAGTCACCTGAAGATACACATGAGGATCCATGCAGCGGAGAAACTGCTTAGTGGAGAAAACAATTCGTTTCCTAACAGCAGGCCCGGATTGGCCATCTGATTTGGCCCGCTGCCCTGTTTTTTGTTGTTATTATTATTATTAATAATATTTTATATTTATGCCTTCTCAATGTACCAACGTGATCATGTCCGATTTTTTAATTCGATAATAAATCGATTGGCCTAATAAATCATAAATCGGTTAGTCTTGACTGTCAGCGAATCAGCTACAGTTCGGAACAGAACCGATGCGCAGGACTCGATGAAAGAAAGGAAGCAGACCGAAGAATTGTTATTATTATTATTAATAATATTTTATATTTATGCCTTCTCAATGTACCAAAGTGATTATGTCCGATTTTTTAATTCGATAATAAATCGATTGGCCTAATAAATAATAAATCGGTTAGTCTTGACTGTCAGCGAATCAGCTACAGTTCGGAACAGAACCGATGCGCAGGACTCGATGAAAGAAAGGAAGCAGACCGAAGAAGCAGTGAAATGTAGCAACATCACTGATCTGTTCAGGGCTTCAAGTGCAGGTCAGCTTCATCTGTAAATACCATAGACTGTGGTAAATATGCTAGATAGTTTTGTCTTTATTAACATAGTTGAGTATTAAACTGTTAGTATCTGTTAGGCTATCAGTAGCACCCCATTATTATCATCATTGAGGATAGTGCTAAAGGACATCAATATCGATTGTAAAGTTACATTGAAAAATGTAGCAGAGACAGATATTCACATGGATTTATTGTACAGGAAGGGAGGGAGCTAGAGCAGACAGCAACACAAAAAAATTCTGAGTAACAGGCTCAGCCTAATAATTCAATAGTGTATTAGACTTTTTCAACAAATATATTGTACTAATTTTGACATTTAGTCACTTTAGAAATTTTAATACACTAGTCAACAGGTTTTGATCAGTAAGATTTTTTGTGTTTTTTTAAAGAAGTCTCTTCTGCTCACCAAGCCATTTATTTGATCCAAAATGCAGCAAAAACAGTAATATTGTGAAATATTTTTATTATTTAAAATAACTGTTTTCTATTTGAATATATTTTAAACTGTAATGTATTTCTGTGATGCGCAGCTGTATTTTCAGCATCATTCCTCCAGTCTTCAGTGTCACATGATCTTCAGAAATCAGTATAATATGCTGATCTGCTGCTCAAGAAACATTTATTATTATTATTAATATTGTTGAAAACCGATTCTATTTTTTTTTCAGGTGTCTTTGATGAATAGAAAGTTCAGAAGAACAGCATTTATCTGAAATATAAATCTTTTGTAACATTATAAATGTCTTAATATCATCACTTTTGATCAATTTAAAGCGTCCTTGCTAAATAAAAGTAATAATTTTTATATTTTAAACTGTAATGTATTTCTGTGATGCGCAGCTGTATTTTCAGCATCATTCCTCCAGTCTTCAGTGTCACATGATCTTCAGAAATCAGTATAATATGCTGCTTTGCTGCTCAAGAAACATTTATTATTATTATTAATATTGTTGAAAACCGATTCTATTTTTTTTTCAGGTGTCTTTGATGAATAGAAAGTTCAGAAGAACAGCATTTATCTGAAATATAAATCTTTTGTAACATTATAAATGTCTTAATATCATCACTTTTGATCAATTTAAAGCGTCCTTGCTAAATAAAAGTAATAATTTTTATGATTATAGGAAAAATATATATGGGTCAATGACGAGACGCCTACATTTTCTGTCCGATTACATTTTTTCAGCAAAAAATTGGTTTAAATGCATAAAAAAGATGCCATATATATGAAGGACCTCTCCCATGTATGAACTTACTTTAACTTTTAAAAAAACATTAGTTATTTGTAATTTTTCTGTTATTCAAAGTGTCAAAATATCATGTGGTGCGACCGTCCTGCCATAACTTTTTTTTGTAAGCATCTTTGAAATTACCCTAAATTTATTCAAATTAATTTTATGCACTATTTGGCATGATTTCCAAAGTGTTTTGTAATCCTGTGTAAAATTACAAAGCATTTGTATTTATATTTCCATCATAATATACAAACAAACTTTGTCCGATGATTTCCATTTTATGAAATATCATGTGGTGCGACCATCAAGAAACTACCATTTTGGGACTTTTATGTTGAAATCTATTCAAAGATAGGACTTTGGAGGCCCGGCGGTTGGTGACAGCTGGATTGTGACTGGAGCGCTGATGGTAGGAAGTAGTGTAGATTCCGGAAGTGATCCGGAAATGGAGGATGATGTAGGAGATGTGGATAGTGGAGGCGGCGAATGGAGAGTAGTAGATAATCGGAAAAGAAAGAAAAGTTGGGGACAAATCTCAGAAACGGATAGTGAAAAAGGAAATCACCAGGCAAGATGAAAGAAAGAGGAGATTAAGTTTACTGAGTCAATAAATGCTATTAATCCTTTAAAACTAACAAAAACTTTAAAAGAAACAATAGGGACGTTTGAAAGCATTAAGACATTGAGGGATGGCAAGCTGATGTTGTTTTGTAAAGACAGTAGGAAGCAAAAAACGGCTCTAGGAACAAAATCGATAATTGGAAATAAAGTTGAATGTTCCATCCCAGAAGAAAAGAATTGGGTCAGAGGTGTTATAATGGGGATTCCAACGGATGTTACAGATGAGAAGATTAAAAGCAATATAACTGGAGCAGCAGTAAAGTTTTTCAGACGGCTCAAGTGCGTCAGGAATAATGAAAAGACAGACAGCCTATCAGTAATGTTAAACTTTGATGAAAATAGACTGCCTGAGAGAGTTTACGTGGGTTTTGTAAGCTATACGGTTAGACTATACGTTCCCCCGCCGCTAAGATGTTTACAGACCCATAGCTTTAACATCTAATTTGTGCAAACTGATGGAGCGTATGCTTATGAGTAGGCTTGTATACGTCATTGAGAAGGAAAATCTCTTATCACCATTTCAAATTAGTTATTTATTTAAAGGAAACAGGATTGATTAATAGGATTTAGGATACCGGTTTTTTTTATTTTTTGGTATTTTTTATTTTTATTTTATTTTATTATTATTTTTTTTTTTTTATATATAAGGTAGCTCTTGTTTCTAAAGTTCCTATTCATTGTGCGCTTCACACTCCTTTCCAGTAGGTGGCGGGAATGCACCTTTTAAGTTGGTTTGCCAACCGCCATTAAATCCTAAAAGAAGAAGAAGAAGAAGAAGATAGGACTTTGTATCATATACCAATTTGCTAAGGACCTATGGAAGCATCAAGCAGGTTTATAAGTCTCTTTCAAATTTAGAAGAAAAAAAAAAACCTTTTTAATGGCTGGTCTGTAGTTACCACATTTGGATATCATGTGGTATAACCTCAAAAAGTTATTTCTGCAAGCATTTATTTTCATTATACATTTCATAGTGACCTTTTGTGGGAAGCTAGCTTGTTTTGTTTAGGTGGCCAATTCTGTGCTTGTAAATTTTGACTGAATTTGAAAATATCATGTGGTGCGACCACTGCAGAGTGTTTTCTATTATAGATATATGTCCCAGATTTGCAGTTTTTGTGCTTTTTTTTCAATTGATGGTTTATATACATAAAATATCTTATTTTAGTATAATTTGGAATAGATTTTTATGCAATTTGGGTCATTTCAGATGGTTTATGTTTAATCTTTCAGAGCATGTAATTTCATTTTGGCAAATATGCATTTATTAGTAATTTGTTATTTATTTATTAATAACTATCTAAATATCTTCTGCCAGATTCCATTGCCAAGCAAAGTAAAATAAACGCTCGCCCAGGGCTAGGCGATTTTTCCGATTTTATTGATTAATTCGAATTTAACGTTTTGCCGCGATTTTATTTTTTAGAAATCAAGGAATCGCGATTTTGAATAGAAATATTACCAAACGTTAGAATTAGACACTTTGACAATATGCCAATGATAACAGTAAAGAGAAAAGAACTAAAGCTGCGCAATCGAATAAAAAACCTGTAAAGAACTACTACTGTATGTCTAATAGTTCATGTTTGCATCATGGTGACAGGCTGAAAGCTGCTGTTCATTGTTTCACAGAACATTTATTGTTAATAGTCTACTGGTGTTGTACTTTCAGAAGACAGAAAGAGCTTTATTACCAAGTATGTTTACACAGACAAGGAATTTGACTTAGTGACAGGAGCTTCCAGTGCAGAAGAAAGTATGGACATAGTGCAAACTAGTGCAGCAGACATAGCAATTACACAGTAGAGATGGAGTATAACACTAATATAAGAAAAACTGAAAATTAAATAATGCACTAGCCTATATACAGAAGTAGAAATATAGAGAAATGTAACCGTTTAAATCAATGTACAGCTACAATGTGATTTTCTGGATTTTTTCATAGTTGAGGTATACCTATGATGAAAATTACAGGCCTCTCTCATCTTTTTAAGTGGGAGAACTTGCACAATTGGTGGCTGACTAAATACTTTTTTGCCCCACTGTATATTTACAAGTGTGCAGTTTAGAAATGTACACGTTTTGGATTCTATGTATAAAAGCAGTCATTTTGAATTGCATTGACTGTTGAGAACTTTTTGAAGCATTTTCATTGTAGCCTATTATTTCTGAACAGATAACATGTAGGCTATAAGACAAGTTTGTACAGGATGTAGTTGTAGTTCATGCATCTTTTCTGCATGAACTACAGAGGGATTTGTTTAACATTTACATCATGTTGACAACTTCATGTGTGCTGCACTTAGAATAGGATTTTCTTTAACTAGAGGGTTAATAAAGAAAAAGCTTTTTGAATTATGTTGTAGTAACATTTTTAAGTTGAAAAAAAAAAAATCGAGATTCAATTTTTTTGTGAAATTGCCCAGCCCTACGCTCACCATAGGCAGCATGTTAATTCTAAT